TGCAAACATGCTCCCAACATATCATCGGCCAGGAAACAAAAGCGCGCTGCAATGCAGCAGAAAACGTAATTAGTATTTCAAACAGGGCTTTTTCTTTGTGTGTGTGTAAGTGTGTGTGTGTGTGTGTGTGTGTGCTGGAGTGGATGGGGGGGAATGGGGGGGTTGGAAATAAAAAAAGAAAACAGTCAGTGGGAGAGTGAAGGAGAGATAAAGGGAAATGCTCCCTCTCTCTTGGAGTCACAATAGACTGCAGCTAATAAATCTGAGGAAAAACGACACCTTAATTCCCTCTTAATGCTTGATTGAGAAGCAGCGAGGCGAGTGCACGCTCAGCATGCACACACACACACACACACACACACACACACGGAGCCTGGCTGGAGTGTAATAGGCCGGAGATGAGATGAGAAAGAGGCAGAAAAAGAAGTATAGAAAAAAAACCTGAAGAGGGAGGAGTTGGGGGCAGAGCTGCCCTTGAACAACTCGTGTCTGCCTCACTGAAGAGATGAGAGGAAGGACGAGGCAGGGCTAGTCCCTGCTGGAGAGGGGCTTAACTGACTAATGCACACTTCTGAGGAGTGTTTTGGGTTGTGTTAACCTGCTGTTTGGGTTCTGCAGAACATTTACTGTACGTGTTGGTCTCACCGCTCTGATCCAGCGACGACAGGAAACTACTTTCAGCAAAAAAACGTATTGAACCAGCAACCTGTTCATCACCAAACACCAGTAATGACCCGCTGCCCTGGCGCTGCATGTACTCCGTCACCCCACTGAAGCCAAACCAGTCCTTCAATAACGACTCAATTAAATTAAGAATGCTCCTAAAACATGCTCTGGTACAACTAAACGACATTCTTAGTTACTTTTTGTTTGCGATGGATCATTTCAAATCAATAAATGTTAAAAACAGACTTATCTTTAGGGAAAGAAGCTCCTTTATGTCAACATGTAACTGAGGATGTAGCTGTAAAGACATAACTGGGAGACAGTCTGGCAGCTTTTTAAAACAGCGACACAGGCTGGAGACGGACCTGCGTCATCTGTTTGCTTTGCTTTGGTGACAACGATGGATTCATTTTTCTAAAGATTCTGTCTGATGTGAACGACTCACACGGTTTCCGCGGCTGAGATCCTGCAAATGATGGTACGCCGCGTGCTGTTTGTGCTGTTTGTGCTGCTCTGTGTTGTCCAACGTTTTCCACCTCGACCGCAAACTTTAAGCATGAAACACTTGTGGAGCAGAACAAGGGCCAGATGCACTGACGTCTATGACTTCATTCATTTCTCTTCACTTTGTGACTTTTTCCTCTGTTTCTGCAAATACACGACTTTTTAGAATAAATAAAAGAAATACGACTGTGTTGCTGCACACGACTCACAAGAACGGATTCAAAACTGTTTTAAATGTGTTCATTCTTAATCGGTGTCACTGTAATTTCATATTTTTTGCATTTTTTTCCATAGAAATTCCATCTAATGACATGAAACTTGATAAAAGATGCAGAGACACAGCGACTAAACTACCAATAAAGCAGTCGGACTTGTAGCCTGATGTGGTTCTTTGATATTGTCAGACTCCTTCATGTTTAATCAGCTCGTCTTTCAGCTTCTTTCTCCTCCTATTTGGCCAAAATTAACAGATGCAGCTTTAACCTTTAAATCAATTCATTTTTTGTTTTGCATGAAACATTTCTTGAAATCCGGATTCTTTGTTTTCTGCTAAAATGGCACCATAGTGTCCAGTGAGCTGTTTAAAGCGGTTTGAACAAACACTCGGTGCATCGTTGGACGTTTGTCACGACTCAGGTTTGCACAGTTTCAACTGTTTAAACAGAAAACAGCATAAAAGGGATCGAACATGTTGTTAGATGGAGTCAGAGAGGAAACAGACTTACACGTATTTATATAACAAAGCTGCTGTGGATTATTACTCCATTGTCTGTGTGTGTGTGTGTGTGTGTGTGTGCGTGTGCATGAAGATGGGGATTTATGGGTGTGTGTGTGGTGCTGAGTCGTGTCAAGGCTTTTCGTCTGGAAGTGGATCGTTCATCTCCTCAGTGGCGACAGCAGACGTCAACCTCTGTGTGAGTGATGCCTCTGAATCTGAACTAATCAGCCTGCTGCAACACACACACACACGCACAGACACACACACACCTACACACACACGCACACACACACTCAGACTTCGACCAGCGGCGTTTTACAAATGGATTTTCTTCAGACTTGTCACTTTTGTATTTTTTGTTGAAATATGTTTGCCTCAAATTTTGATTCACTTTGCTTTTGCGCTTTTTTTTTTTTTTTGATAAGAAAACTAATCCTGGGCAGCATCACGGCTTCTACAGATAAATAAGAATAAAGAGAAGAAAAATGCTTTCTGCTTATGTTGCTCTGTTGACCTTTTGTGCAAAGTCACAAAGGAAGTCAACATCTTACCGAAAAGTACGAGGGCCATGATTTTATTAATTTTCACAAGTTAAAAAAAAAAGTCTGCACGTTTGAGGAAAGAAGTTCTTTCCAGAATATTATGTAATTAGAATGTAATTAAATATCGTGGTAATTTTAGGAGATACAACTGTAATCTTAAAACAAAGCTGATCTTGTGATTCCTCATATTTCAAGCTCGAGTTTCCTCAATAAACCTACAATTACTTAAAACAAGTTCTGCTTTGGAGTAAATTTCAAATCTCTGCAGCTCCATTTGTACGTGTTCTATCTATTGCAGACAGCCAGCTACGTGTTCATACACGTTTGTGTATTCTGTGTTGTTTCTGTGGAGTGCAGACTCGTGGGCTGGCCTGGTGGACTGGACAGATGGTTTTCAGCCACACTTGGAGGACCTGGAGGGAGAAACAGATCGAGGCGGCCGCCCCCGTCCTCCGCCGTCCTCCGCCAGATTCTCCTCGTTCGTCTCTCTCTGTGTGATTTCTGCTGCTCGCGCTTATTCCTGCTTCTTTTTCATGATGCGGTTCTTTCATTCTCTTTCATTCTCATTCCCAACAATGTCTCCTCTTTTCTTAATCCTCATCTTGTCTCACCTCCTTAATTGTCTTTCAGTTTTCTCTTTTTTTTCCCCCCTTTTCTATTTAGTTTTTTTTCTTTTCTACCTCATATATAAATACATGTATATTTACATTTTCTGTATTTTTAATGTCTTTATTTTTGCACTGGATCTTTGTCATTTCACATTTTCGTGATTATGAAACTAGATTTAAATGTTAAATCATAAAAGGTGAGCTTGTGACTGAAATAAAGTTTGCAGCCTGCAGTGTTTCCTTTTCACTAAAAGTTTTATGACACTGGAACGAAAAGAAAAAAAAAAAGGAGGAGGAGGAGGAGGAAATATGTATTTCTATTTCAGTGTAGTTATTTCCATATTTCATATGAAATTCTCTCTCTGACTCACGCAGGATTTTTAACAGTCTCTAGGCAAACATTTTCACCTTCTCCCTCCTGATGTGGCTGGAATTAGATAATATTCTCCTCCAGTAATTCTGAGGTACGTCTCTCGTGCGTCTACTTGCCTCCAGGTTTTCTTTTCTTTATCTCTTAAAGCTAACATATCTATTTTCCTTCTCCCTTTTCAGAGAGAAAAGAATAAAAATGATGGAGTTGTGGAAAAAGCATTGAAAAGCAGTGAAAAAGAAGCACGACAGAGGAACTAAAAATATCCACGCTGCCGTTGTAAGAACGCGTCACATTTCCTGTGTGCACAACGTGTACAGCTGTCTGAACTAACTTTGCAGGTTTCACTCCAGTCAAAGAGTCAACTTGAGCGTGCTGCACGTGGCAGCTGTGAGAAGAAAGCCATCATCATCATCATCATCATCATCATCATCAGTCGTCTGTCCCTGCTGCGCTCAGCTCACTGTTAGCTAGTGGGGGGTGATGAGGTCAGAGCTGAGGTGTCACATATTATCAGCTGAAGAGTTTTCTGGTCCTACCGCAAAAAAAAAAAAATCCAACTTATTACGTAATTGTTTGTCTTTTACTGTCATTTGTCAGCAAATATTTTTCTGGTTGGATCTTTTGTTTTCTTTGTTCAGAACGTCTGTCAGTCATGACAAACCAATCAGAGTTTCCTTTTTAATGAAGGAATCTTTGATATTTTTGCAGCTGTTAATGTACATTTTTAAAAGAGTTCTGTAAACTGGTTCAATAAATCATTCTGGAGGGTACTAAACTTCATTTTTTAATTATTTGGTAGTATATATTATTGTTGCTTATTATTATTAACGTTAATATTCGCTTTAATCAGATAAACTTACATGACAAAATGTAGGGGCTTCACCTTAATATTTAAATCAGTCAGGTAAATTTCAATATTATAAAATAGTCTGAGCGTTAATATTTAAACTTGTGTAAATTTGGAATCTTATTTCTATTTTGGAAATACACTAATACATGTCAGTATATGTGCAATACACTCATTTATTTGATCTTTCATGTCACTATAATGCTACTGTTATTTTTTTAACTGGCTAAAGCTATACTTTCTAGCACTTCTTCACATTTTAGATGAAGACTTTATATGTATTACTTACTAACTCTGTTGCTGTTTTTTTTGCTCCAACGAACCCTTCGTCAGCACCGTGAGTTCCAAGCAACCAAAGCAAAGTCCAGGTGTGTGCAAGCTCACTTAGTCATAAAGCTTGTTCTGATTCTGATATATTTGCAAAACAACAGTCTGCAAATGCATTAAAAAAAAGAGAATTAACTGGGATTTGAACGTGGCTGGATGAGGATAAGAAAACCCCTCTGGACAACAACAACTGCTTAAAACCGCACCACTGCGAAGTCACAAAACTGTGGTTGCTGCAGTTTGATGAAGTGACACAACAGGATGATTAGTGGCACATCTCTGCCATCTGTCGAGAAACTTTCACGAGCCCCAGAGAGGCAAAGTTTTAAAGTGTGGGAACCAGACGAAGCAGAGACGGAGGGAGAAAGTCCCACCCTAAAAAAAAAAAGGCTCATTCTGTCTTGGTTCCACTCACCTGTGTTGTAGTGCTTGGTGCAGTAGCGCAGGTCCTTCTCCTCCTTTAGTATGAACTGAGGTAGCGTCAGGCCGTCGGCCACCTGCACGGCTCCCTTCTCATCCCACTCGAATATGAGGTCGTTCATGGTGTAGCCGACTGCAGGAGACAGCAGCGAGGAAGAGGTTAGACTGTCTTCATCACTGTGCAGGTCGTTTATTTTAGTCTGCTTCCTCTACGGAGGAGAAGCTGATCTTTCTGTACCTGGCCGAGGTGCAAAGTCACCCAGCGAGAGGTTTCACCCCCCGCAGGGCCGCTTCCAACCACTGTACTGTGTGTCTATAATGTAATAAAGTGACCATCGTGTCGTGTGTTGATGAGGGTTTCTATCAACTTTGTGAACACCTGACATCTCCAGTTTGAAGTTTTCAGATTAACCGAAGAAAGACAAAAAGAAAAGAAAATATAAAAAACAAGTGGGAGGAAGCAACAAAACAAGTAAAAACGTTAGGGCTGATGGAATAAGAACGAAAAAAAAAAAAAAAGATGAATAGATAAGGAGTCATACTGGGATGAAAAGGGGGCAACAGGGAGCAAAAATACTACGAAATTAAGAAAGAAGGATGAACTAGTCAACGAAAAGAAGAAAAAAAAAAAACAGCTGCATAGTTATTCTGACAAAAAAGAAAGTTTTAAAAGATAGAAGATTGGAAAAAGAAAAAGAAAAAGTGGCCAGAATGAGTTGAAAAGTCTCCCCGAACTGGTGCAACAACCTTAAAAACAATCATTAAATACAACACATGAGTAAACGTGTTCAGCTTTTGGTCATTTTTTTTATCAATCAAAACATTTACAACAACTTTTCTAATCTATGCAAAGATTCTGCTCCACATATTGTAAATAAACGCATCCATTCCTCTCCAGGAATACAATTAAATTGCAAATACACTTTGTTGAAAGTGTAATTACAAAAAAAGACTGTTTTCTGTGAACATAATGCAGAAATGTCGTCACTTCATGGCTGCTACCAGTGAAATGTCCACTGAAGATGTATTTGTTTCCAGCAGAAGGTCGACTAGACAGTCACTGGAGCCTGATGCAGTGTTTATAAGTTTAAGTTCACCGCACTTTAAAAATTAATGAAAAATTGTCAACTGGTTAACAGAAGAAGGAAATCCATAGAACAACAAGTTTCCGAACCTGCAGCGTTGAACTTTTGTCTCTGTGTTGCGGCACAGGGAGTAATTAAACAAACGCTGTGGACACAAGGTTACGACGTACGCCTCGCTGTTAACCTCTTTGTGTTTTGGGCTATTTTTTCACCATACGTGTCATCGTTGTAGCCCACTCCGCCTCCATCACTACATTAGCTCGCCTCTTCACCTCTGGCAAACCGCTCATTACTGTAAAACACATCGCTAATGCAGGGATGTGGACACCGGGTTTAAAGAGCCTCATCAGAGTCATTCGCCTTGTATCTAACACACTCTGTTCAGTATCGGTGATTTTGTTGCCTCTGGACACGAGGGTCGAGCGCTCTGTGTGCCCCACCATCCACCCCGACATCCTCTGACTCTGCTGCTGGTCATAAACGTGGTGCGTTCGCCACTCCAGTGATCGCCTCTGACTGTAAACCAAAACGACCTTTAGAGGAACATCATTTCTAGGACGCAGGTTTGTTTTTAGTTGGAACTGTTGGTTTAAAAATAAATGAATAAATAAAAATACAATAAAACTCTCATCAGCGCCGGCATTAACGCTAAGACTAAACGTGATTTACTTCTTTTTGATGCTAACTAAAGCTGAACTCAAACGCCGGCGTGACGCCAGCGAGCACCGCTCATCGGTCGCTCTTTGATTTATGATGGCTGACCCTTTGTCGAAGTCCAGAGCTCTTTGAAATTCAGCCCCAGTTTCTGAGATTCCTCTCACGTCTGCTCAGAGAATGAAAAGGCCACAGAGAAATCTATACTATATCTCTGGGCCTGCCAGCTGCTGTGACTGATCGACTGATGCGCCGCTCGCTGTGTGTGTGTTTGTGTGTGTGTGTGTGCGTTTAATTACTCACAGCTCTCCAGCTGCATGATGCACGTCTGGACGTCCATTGGGAAGTTCTTCAGATCCATGGGACAGGCCAGGACCAGCGTTATTCTGCAAACACACGTAGCATCACTTAAACTTAGAGGAGCTTTATCGGTGTTACTCAAAAAGTCAGCACCATCGAACACAGTTAAGATCATTTCAGTGATAAAAACTTAAAAGACTCTTTTTTTGGGGGCTTTTCGGGGACATATTTTAATGTATTTACTCCAGGCTGTTATCCAGACTGACAGCATGATGAGTGAAACAATAGATGACATTAATCAATTAGCAGCCATTTACATAAACACTTTGTTTAATGCTTGACTTAAAAAGCAGCACAGATAACAAAGGAGCTTTGCTTAAGAGAAGAAGAAAAGATTTGAGGGTTAAGTCAAATCAATTAAATGATAAAAAAAAAAAAAAAGCAGCGCAGATGAAAGCCTAAATGAAATGATAGATATGAGTTTTTATGAAGTGATGTGATTAACTCAGATTTAAAGGGATTAGCGCCGGAACAAGTGGCAAATTAATTGATTACAACGACAACAATTTTTTATTTGATGATTCCAATCATTCAGTTCACATAAATGAGAAGAAATAGCTGGTTGTTGTTTTTTGTTTTTTTTTAATCTCTGCGATAAGATGCTTGATTGAATGAACTGAACTAACGCTGATCTGAGATGCGTTCTCTTGGGTTTTGGACCGCTGGGCGAACAAAACAAACAACTGTCATTTTAATTTTCAGCTACGGTTTCAAGATGAACTGGTGATTTTCAGCTCTTCTGTCATCGTCACAAAACCAACGAGCTCAAGCCGGCGGTGAACATAAATGAAAAGAACAGCGTGAGGATCCAACGCCTGATGCATCTCATCGCTCTGACTCGGTGAGGGACGGTGCATTTGATTTTTCAGTTTAGACAATTCCATGTAATTGTGGACGGGTGGCAACCCTGTAATAAAAGAAAAAAACAAACAAGTTGTTTTCTAGATTTGGTTCAACTTGTTTGACCAGTTTGAAGCTAGAAATGGGAAAAGTGGGAAATTTTTTCTTTTCTTTTTTCTTTTTTCCAATTCATTCAAAGATAGTAAAACTAAAAAAAATGCATTGCCTATATGTGTTCATTCTGTAATCAAACAAACTGAAGGAAGGGAGGCCAGATGGACTTCTTTGTGCCACAGAGCTTCATTTACATCCTATTTTATTTTTACTCTACACTGCTGACACCTTCCTGCTGAACCACAACACTCGCCAGAGCACCAAATGTCAGAAATAGCCCCCAATAAAAGCACTGTTCTCAAACAAACAAACACAGTGGATAGCTCCTTAAAGGAAGCTTTACTATGGACAACATCTAATTATATATTCTGAACCTGCTTTTAAAGATTTATGAAGCAGCAGGAAGGAACGTGCTAGCGGCTGGATGCTACAGGGCAGGAAAATATTGAAAAATTGACCAGTGCATTTACATTTTTTCTTCTTTTCTGGGGAATTACTGTGAATAAAAAAAGTCTAAAATGTAGTACTCCACCCACACAATACTAATTCTAACGCCGGGGAGACCTGCAGGAAACACCAACAGGAACGTCACACTGGAGGTCACAGCTGTACTCCAGACCTCGGCACATCTTCTTCTGTGCTGGAGGACTAACGTGATAAGACCTCGTAGCAGAGTGTGCGTGTAGCAACGGGGGAATGGATCTTATTTTTATGCAAGGGTGAGCCGTGAAACTCAGAAAATTAAAATGTTGTGAGGGGGGGGATGTGGTGACACATTACGCGTCTGAGTCCCAGGCACCCAAATTAATTACTGCTGTCACATGGTGAGAATGCATCTCTGCAAAAGTCAACTTTTCCTAGAAATTAATGGAAAAATCATGTTTATAACCGGGAAGATGCATTGCTGAAATTAACGACTCTATTCCACTCATTAGGCCTCAATATCAGCTCGTGTAAAACTAGTTTCGGAGGCTGTTTATTTAAAATTTAATTTCAAATATAACAGAACCCATTACAGATTAAACCAATGATATATATATATCAGTTTATTATTTATTTTTTTGCTTTCCAGTTCCTGCACAGTCTGTAAATAGTCAAAAAAAATACTGCTGGAACAGATTTCATCAGGTGGAAGTTTTGCTTTATAACTATTCAGTTATGAATAATAAGCAATTTAACAAATGTGTTCTAATGCAAGCAAAAAAGCCTCGTATTCATGCACCTTTAAAGGTAATTATCACATAGTAGAGGTTAACAAATATGAACAAACAAATGCCGTCCATCACCGCTGTCCTCATAATAACACTTTTGTTGTATACAGGCCTGTTAGCTTCACTAATAAAAGGTTTTTTTTAAAACAGCCTCTGCAGCTCGGGTTTTGTATCTGCAGAGTGTGAGCTGTCAGCAGGTTGTCGCCACTTGCAGAAGGTGATTCCACTGAACACGCTCGGTCCTTCTGTTCCGCTCTAACAGGACGGCTGCTGCTACAACACACACACGTCCGGTCGGCCTGATGTACCAGATAAACTTTGCCGCGTCTGCACATTGCTACAAATCCTTGACAGGATGCTGAATATGTATTACACACATGATGTAGCCTCCGCAGATGTCCCACTTTCTCAGGAAAGAGGTTCGGCTCTGTGGTTTTTCTGTCTGCTGCATCGTGACACCTAAAATGCCGAATGCTGACGTAGTTCAGTGCCTGGCTGCCCTCGTTGTCCTAGAGCGTGACAGGCAGTTGGACCTCCAGCCCTGCTTTTGTGCTTTCGTTTAACCGCAAATAAGATTACATGGAAAATCCTTTTGTTTTAGCATTACTGATTAAAAACCAGAAATGTGGATACAGGACTCGACTTCAACTCAGTAAAAGTTGTATTTGTATTTTTTTCTATTTTAAACTATCGACATTATCGCACTTCCTGTCATGTTAAATATTTTACACACTCTTTTATATCAAACTATGTGATTGTGTTATGCATTTTATCAGGTTTACTGTATATAATATCATGTGTTTAGGCGTGTGTGCATCCTGTTTAGTGTGTGTAAGAGAGACGGAAGAAATAAATTGTGCTAGTTTACATTTAAATGCATTCAGTTCTTGCAGTGGAGAGAAAGTGATGCGTGGACTCTTCTTCTTGTACTGAATGACTGTTATGTAAAGGTAGGACTCAAACAGTGCGACTGGGATCGTACCAGATGCTTAGCTTGGATTGGGTGGATGAGAGGATTTTTCTTTTTTAATCAAAGAACCTCATATTTCCAGCCAAAAGAGAACTGAGGACTAAACATCCCTCCTCACAGAGTTTCAATGTTTGAAACAGTTGAGGAAGGTGAAAAAAGACTGAGGTGCATTCAGGGTTGACTTTTCAACATGGCCCGAGTAAAAACTGTGGCGGAAGTAGCAAAAGCCAGAGAAACATTTGTTCTGTGCATGAGTGCAAGTATGATTGTGGCTAAGACGGCATTAAAGGTTTAAAGCATCAGTAAGTGAGACGATGCATTGTAAATGGGATGCTAATGGTTGTTGCCTTCTTAGCAAGGAAGGCTGCAAAGTCATCAGGTGAGCGAGAAGCGGCTGGTGGAGGAGGTGGTGGGGGGGGATAAGGAGGCTTTGAAAGGTGGAAAATGATTTCCTAGTACCGATATTGTCATGGGAAAATGCCATTTTTGCAGAAGTTAAGCTGGAAGCAAGCGGTTGATAGAAGAGTCAATGAGGTCTACAAGATCTCCAGATTTATGCTATTTTCTCTCGCCGTCTCTGAGATTGGTTCGCAGCTTGCGTAGATAGCCGGGACGGAATAGCCCGAGCAGGCCTAATGGAGAGAGGGCGGAGATTGCCGGGAAAGAGCTTAGAGTGGAACAGAGTAGATCTGTAGCATCATTTATGCAGAAAGAGGGGAATGTGCTATGGGATGGAAAGGTGGCAACGAGCAGGGTGTGGGGCGACTGCGCCAAACAGAGTCCCTGTGTGGGAACTTTAGTGAGGGACACCTGATAAAGAAATGGTCAAACACATTAGTAGTCCTTTAGTTTAGTGAGATGTAGGTTGGTTAGGTTTTACTTGGTTGTGGCACAAGTGTAATCATGGTGGAAATAAACCAGTGATCAGTGCTAAAGACACAATGGTCTCAAAATCCCATCCCAAAGTGTGCAACAGCTCCACTGGCTTAAAGTACAAGAAAACCCCACATAGTTAAAACTGGCAACAAATTCCACGTAGGGTTTCTAAGGGAGTGAAGGACACATCCCCCACAGGACCCACTCAGGAGAATGGTGTCCCAGTCCCATGTTGCCTCGTTGTCAGTCACTTTTTGCTTTTGTTTTTGCTACTTGGTTGATTTTACTCACTGATATCACTTGGTTCGGTCATAGTTGGGTTAAAAGACGTCTGCTGCCAACACTAAGCACAATGGCTGATTTGTAGGTTGCTGTGGTGATGAGTCCCATCCTTAAAATAGCCCCTAAAGAAGCATCTCACAAATGTACAGCCTGCCTCTGTGGAAAGTGATGTGTCTTGTTCTGTGAACAAATGTAGATATAAGGCATGTTTGTGTGCGACTGGGCTGCATGTTGTTGCACCAGTGCCTCCTTCATACTTGGATGATTATGTCGCCCAACTTCTACTTAAAGTCATATTCATAAGTCACTGTGATCATTCATGTTTTTGTGAGCAAAGCTCATTTCAGGCATTTGAATAAAATATCAATCATACTAAGTTATGTGTTCTGGATTCCCTTTCATCAGCATATGCTCCTGTATTTTGGAGAACATGTTGACTAAACTTCAGGTCTATTTTCTGGAAATACATGGTCCTATTTCTGACTGAATTCTTGAAATGAAATAATCATAAATTTTCCCTTTGATATAGCACCCCGCATGCACAAATGGGACAGCACATCAGTTCAGAGCAAGCCGCGGGAGGTTGGACTACATCTAAATCTGGTCATCCAATCTCAGAAAGTTCGCTTTCGTCTCGGAGTGGAAGCGACCATCGGTCATGACTTCTCCTCGTGCTGCTCCACAGTTGAGCGATAAACATCAAAAAACAGAGTAAACAACATTTACAACACCCACTTTCTCCCTCTTCCCCTCCGGGACGGTTTAATATCCTGAGCCGATTCGTCGCCTCCGAGATCAAGCTGATCAACGGAGAGGTTCATTCTGATGTTGTCAAGTTAAAAAATGAAAGCAGCAGTGGAGGAGTGCAGGGTTCATCCCTTCTCTGACGATATTTATAAAGGACCAATCTCACTCCTCCTCCTGCTGGACATGAAGGTGAAAACTGAGGTTGATAACGGATCAGACTCACTGCTGGAATACTAACAGGCTGAGTAGATTACCATGGCCGCTGCTGCCGCTGCTGCTGCTGCTGCTGCTGCTGGGTTTTTTCATTTGCCCCTGAGCAGACGCAATAAAAGCACGGAGGAGGAGGCACCGGCAGGCTAAAAGGTTTGTCGGTTTGAAGGAGGCTATAACTCTGAGAGCCTTGAATAGGTTGTCTCGGAGATACATTGGGAAAAAAAAAAAAGAAAAAAAAAAGCAGCAAGGAAGTAGAGACTAATAGGAAATGAAAACCTCCAACTTTGACGCAATAAGAGAACTCTGGAGGTCTCTGGGAGTCCACACAGGAGAGTCACTGTTAATCTTCTAACACCCTCCAAACCATAAACCCTATCCTTCATTTATTTAAATATTAGATGTGTCCAGTGTAGAGAAAAAAAGATGTTTTGTAGCAGAGTTTGTAGTTTAGGTCATTTTAAGAAATGTTAATTTTATTTACGAGGAAACATAGAATAATAAATACAAACACTTTTTCCAGATGATCTCCTGTAAATGAGAATAATGTAGATAGCTGATAAATCGTTCAGCAGTTTAAACACGTCACCATCAAGTTTGTCCCTGATCTGATCCAAATCATTGAGTATCTGCCTATATGGAGTCCTGATCCAACATGTAGCTGCACAGTGAACACCTCAAGAACAATGAAGTGACTAAAATCGATACCATGGATATGTTTGAGAGCTGAATTAGAAATGCATTTCTGCATCCAAGCCGTTCCTGTTTTTACTCTACAAAAGAACTAAATAGACAAGCGAATCACAATTTCACACAGTGTACAATCTTTTAGTTTTTGTTTGTTTTACAAAACAATTAAGTAAACAAACTAAAATACGTCAATGTAGTGCCGCATTATCGCTGTAAAACTACAACAATCTGAAATACAATCATGATTCCACTTTGAAGTGGTGCAACAGATAACTTACTAACATCCACAGTTCAAATCAAGTTAAACTAGTAAAGCTGGTAAAGCTAGTCTGCTAAAAAATGAACAACAGGAATTTCTATTTTTACTTTAAATAAATAAATAAAGCCAACTGCAGTTCCTTCTGACAAAAGACTTTGTAAGTGGCCAGGGGGCGTTGCTGTATCAGTAAAAAAATGATCTGATTTCTGAGATTGGGTCAGAACATCTCTAGTTTAAACTGCTTCACTTTGAGATTCTGGATGATTTTTTTGGACACTTTCAGCAGCTGTGTTGCCATGTTTTGTTCAAATACAATGAA